GTGGTTTGATCCCTGGCTGCATGCCAAATATCCTTAGGCAAGATACTAACCCCGTGTTTGCCTACTGGTGGTGGTCAGAGGGCCCGGTGGCGCCTGTGTCCGGCAGCCTCGCCTCTGTCAGTGCGCCCCAGGGCAGCTGGGGCTACAATGTAGCTTGCCATTGCCTGTGTGTGTGAATGACTGAATGTAGTGTAAAGCGCTTTGGGGTCCTTAGGGACTGAGTAAGGCGCTATACAAATGCAAGCCATTTACCATTTTCCCTTTGTCTGATCATCTGCTTGACTCCACATGTACTCCTATTTGCGTCACATTTCTTTTCTGTATTGTTGGGACGAATTTTCCTTGTTGCCTTGAGTTTGGATATCTTGCTCTTGTTCTGCAGAGCTTTTTCTTCTTTTTGTTTACGCCCTGCTTTTTTACCCTCTTGGTGTATTTTGATCTGTTTAGGAGGAACTTTGTCAAACCACATGTTTATTTTAATCTTCATATTGTTTGTCAAAATAGGACTCATCCCCATTAATGATAAAAAGTGAAAAACTGGGAAGCTGTTAAGATAAAAAGGAAAGAGAACTGAAAAAAAAGCAAGTTAGGTTGAAAAGCATTGGACTTACAAATGCTACAGGGTCATTGCTCCTTGTTCCTACAATACTGAACCTCTCCACCACTGTGTTCTTCATCAGAGCCTCGGCATATGCCTTCAGAGTTGGGATAGGAATATTCTGGGTGCAGAAAAACAAAAAAATTAAATGTTGAAAAACTTATTTCTATGTATTTTTGCATTTTCCCTTGTCATAAACAGTAAAAAAAATATTAATTGCTGTGATTCATAAAGAAACAAATGCTTGAAGTTTATGTATAAAACTTGAAACCAAATCCAATATACATCCAAATTTAAATAGAATTTTTATAATAGATATAGATTATTAAACCTGCACTGTCTCTCTCTCTCTCTTTTTTTTTTTTTTTAAACACAACCCAGCATTCTTACCTTGATGTTATTGAGGTTGACTTCTACCAGGTCGGGATCATTCCTCTTTACTCTCAACAGAGTTTCCTCTACATCAGTGGAGTTGGGCTCCTCATCAGGGACTGGCTTGTACTGGGTACACTGGATCACACCTGGGGTGCAACACACATATAATATAAAAATATATTTACAAAATCAGACTGCTGATGGATAAATTTGCTTTACTCAGGGTCTGATTGGACTAAATCTCATTTCAAAAGCAGCACAAAAAATAACCTCTCCATTAAGTAGTTGACTCAATTTCTGAATCTGCGACTCTAAACACTGTAAACAGCATTTTCTGGATGATTGCTTGAGACTTTGCTTGTGTCAAGCAAAGGGAACACATTTATTTGGTGAAAGTATAGTTTTCCACATTCAGTGTTGCTTTTGGTCGTGGAGTACTCTGCTGGTTCAGAAATGCTGTTCTTCTTCTCCATGCTTGCCCCCTTTTTTATGGTAATCCAGGCTAAACATCTGTGTAGCTTCACATTTATTTTACTGACAGAGGATTGGTATCAATCTTAAGAAGGTGATTAAGCGTACTTCCAACGATAGTTTTTTTGCAGAGCACAGTACAGGCAGAGTATTAATATTTGGCCACAATAACCTCAGGAGATTTTCAAAATGATATTTTTTATACTTTGCAAAAGCTGCACAGAGTACCTCGTTGTAAGTGCTCTGCAGCAGAAGATCTAAAATACGGAAAAACTAGAATCCGTTTGGTTTACCAGCACGAGAAATGTGCACCTACTTTAGTAATGGATTGCAAATCTCTGAGATTCAGTCATTAAGGTTAATATGGACCAATGCTTTTGTAAAAAGGGTTTTTGTGCCCTCCTCTGTATCACTACTCAAAACAGAGTGACAACTTCAGCAGGAGACTGTGGGTTGCTTTATAAGGTAGTCATATTTGGATGTGAGATGCTCAGTCTCTGTTTAGAGCTGGAAGTGTAACTATAGGATGAGCCACCACACAAGATAAACAATAGCTCATTAACCTGTGAAGGAGAGCTAAAAGTAATCCCACAATTCAATCGTTTACACGATGTAGCATAACATGAAGTGCAAACAGATGAACCAGCGATAGTGTATTCCTGGCAGGATAATAGCAAAATGCATGTGTGCTTATACTCTTTTATCTACCTATCTATTTTACTTTAACCTGTTTTACATTATTTGTGCATGTATCAAGTGCAAAACAGAAAAAATATGAGCATACACTGTTTTTGGTAAAATAAACATTCTGCAAACATGAGATCACACTTTATTCCAATCCAACTGCAGCATTTTTCTTAAATGATGCAATTTTTTTGGTACTAGTTGAGTGATCTGCTTTATTTTAGAGTACTTTTACTTGTTCCTCGAAAGTCCCTACAATTCATGTGTACTTGTGTCCAGTAGTATACATTTCGGTAGGTGAGTGCAAGCGTGTATGTGTTTCACATACTGTTAAGGCCTTGCTTGTTCACTATAGTGCTGCTGGCCAGGGCTTCATAGTACTGCTGGTTACTCATCAGCGTGTGCATGCCCAGGATGGCTGGAAGAAGAGAAGGAGACTGAAGAATGAACATTTCTTGAGAAAAAAAAGGATCGAGAAAGAGAAAGCAAGAGAGCAGTGCTGACACTGAGTGGACTTATTGATTGGCTTGCAACCTTACACCAGACCACCATGCACCAGTCGCTTTCAGCATCGCAATCAAGGCAAGCATGAGAAAAAAAAAAGAAAGAAAAAAACCTGCACACTGTATGGATTCAGCTCCCGTGTACTGGCTTTGACTTCTGCAACCACAGCTGACCTTCTGCTCTTAGCAGGCCGAAGCCAAATCAATGTGCAATATACTTTATTTGTTATAAAAAAATAATGAGATATCAGCCAGCCAAGGCAAAAAATCTATGATGCGCTCTGGCAGCAGGAAATCTGAAATATGTTTCCAGCCAAGCAGTTACTCTGAGGACACAATTAACAGAGAGTCTTTGCCTTGTTTCTTTGTCAGAGAGATTGAGAGTATCTGACTGTTTATTCGATTACTGAATGCAGTGAAGTGCGTGTATTGCAACAAGCTAAGAGGCTTGTTCACCACGAGCATTTCTCATTTTAAATCTCCGTCTTCTAACAGCAGCAGGGTTGGATAATATTTTTGTCACACATGAAGTATGCATCGTCTTGTAATTACTCTGACAGTGGTTAAAACTAAATGTGTTTACATGGTATAAGTAAGTATACTTCCCACAAAGTCAACTCACTGTCATCATTAATATAATAAGTTCAGCACATTGACTGCAATAACTCAGGCAGGCTAAAAACAAACAAACGAAACAGACAGAAAAAAACCTTGAAACATCAGCAACACTGTTTTAATGGCAGCTCGAGTTTCTCCTGATGGTATGGACATTGAAAAAGTTATTATTTTATATTTTAAGGCAAAGAAAAATAACTTCAAACACTATTCAGACAAAATCCAGCAAATGACAATAACTGCAGTGTGTAAAGCAGAGCTGCGTCATATCACATCATACCTGCTATAGCGGTGTCATGCACTTACATTCCCAACTGCCGCCACCTGCAAGCTGCAAGCTGATAAAACACTGGGTGTTTTCTACATCGTCATTAATATCATTTTTACAATTTTTTGTGATGTAGCTTACATCGTCCTTCCCCACTATACAAAAAAATGTACCAGCAGGTCCACTCGCCCTGCATGAACCAAGTTTTTTGTTAGATAGAATGCACGGTCCGCACATGCAACAATACGACTACAAAGTAAAACAAAAAGCACAAATTTCACAGAAGACCAGTGTTGTTCCATGCAGGACTACGTGCAGCGTACAGATACCCTGGGCGGTGATGAACTAATAGATAGAAAGATCCAGAAAATGAAGGTACGGATGATGATGATGAAGAGTTGAACGGTAAGAGTGGAATGAAGATGAAAGGAGTGCTAGAGGAAATGAGTGAAAGTTAGATTAACAAGGGCTAGTTACACCTATGGTAGTCTACTTACATTCATTAGTGAGAGCATGCCTAAAATCTTCATATAGAAATATATAGAAACAACTCTTGAAATGGAGAAAAGTTACAGTTCAGCTACATGTGCAGCCGTAAAATCCAATTAAACTTAAGTACTTTTATTTGTTCATTTTCTTGGAAAAATTAGCCTACAGAGAAAATTAGCCTACAGAGAGATGTTGTGTGATAGTTACCTGCAATATCACAGAGTTCAGCATCGGTAGCACTGGACAGGGCTTCTTCTAACTCCGGCTCCAGAGTCACAGACTCTATGATTGGATCCACTCTTGTTTTAGGCACCCAGGCTTTCCCTGCAATATGAGGGTATATATTTTATGCAAAGTAAGTGACTGCAAGCACTACTATTACAATGACAATTATCAGTAACTTTAATTTAGCATTTAGCTTACAAGTTACATTTGACAGACTCCAGTTTTTTCCTGGATTTTTGTCAATTTAGGGACCTCTATGGCTACAGATTTGCTTCTTAAGTAGCATTTTTTGTCAAAATTACCCAAAATTTCTATACATTCTGTGTGGTGTGACCGCATGTAGTGGAAATGCAGCTTCATAGTATATGCACTGAATTTCTCTCTAAGGTTGAATTTGTTGAACTGCTGTGTATTGAGGTTATTAAAGTTAAAAATAAAACTAAAAACTAAAGTAATAAAAACTGAAACTAGGCATGAACACATATTTTTGTGAACTAAAATGAAAAAAAAAACTACTACACCTTTGAAAAAAAAACTGATGGAAAAGATTTTGTGAATTTGGAAAACTAAACTAAAATACAATTACAGATGAAATGTGTTTTCCTTGTCATTTATTATAAACTGCCTGATGAGGATTTGATGAATGCTTCTATTGAGGCCAAACAGTCGAAAGGTTTATATTTATATTGTAATATCTACACTGATTTTTCACAGTTCTTGCCTCTGGCGTTTGCCGTAAATGAAATAATAAGAATTAAAGATTGAAACTAATGAAAGCTAAACATTTTCAAACAATAAAAGCTAAACTGAAACAAGCAAACCCACTCTGGAAACAAACTGAAACTAAACTGAATTAACAAAAAGTCAAAATGAAGTAAAATGAAAAACTAGTAAGAAAATAATAAATTTAAAAAAATCTATGATAACTCTGTGATATATTGTTTTATTTCTTAAAATAATGGCATAAACAGCTTTGGATTGTCCCCTCACAGCGAGGTGTGTCAAATCCACTAGACAGTCGGGGTATTTCTGTGTGACGTTAGCATGTTCTCTCTGTGCCTGTGTGGGTTCTCCTTGGATACTCTGGCTTCCTCCCGCAGTCCTCCCATGTTAGGTTAATTGGACTTTCTAAATCGGGTGTAGGTGTGTATGTGAACATGAATGATTGTCTGTCACTCTGTTATTCCTGAAACACAGCAATCATTTTCATTGCTACTACCATTAACAAAGGCTCACTCTTTTGTCATAGAAAGTCATGTATAAAAAAGACAGAACAAAAGCTAAGTAAATGTGAATTACAAAAACAGTGAAGACCATCAACCTGTTAGAACCTATAACTAGTACTGAATACAGTACATACAGTAGTATGGAATTTGAATGTAACTGTCAGTCTAAGGTGAGGACATGTAAGACAAGGTCAGTCCAGTTGCCAAAATCAGTTCTGTTACACAAGCTGTGTGAGGTGAGTATGCTTTCATGTCACACCTGACAAGCGGCTGACTCTAGAAGCCCAGAGATGTCTTTACCGATAGGTTTGCTATGTCTGTATTTGTGTGGCTTGCTCCTCGAGTTTCAGCCAGACATTTTTTCTGATGCTCATATGAACACGTGGCTCTGTGAGAGGAGTTGTGAGAGCAGTTTTTGGAAAGTCACGTGTGACCTGTCTTGGTTAAATGTCATGGCACCGCTGAGGGCACGGCAAATGCTGCGGCAAGTGGAGTGAGTCCCAAAGCAACAACACCAGCAAATCAGAACGTAACAAAAGTCAGAAAAACAGAAAGAAACTTTACAGAGTTTAAAGAGTTTGACATGGCTGAAGTTCTTCACCACCAGTCAAGTCTGTGTCTACGCTGTGGATTTCTGATAAACAGAGTTAACACCTGAGCTACAGGTTGGCTGTTTTCACTGATCAATTTGCCTTTTTAAAATCCATCCAAGAGTCCAGAGATATTTGTTCAATTACAAAGTAACACCATCATTTAAATCATGTTTAAGGAAGCTTTAAACAGCTTTCATTTATTAATAATAATAACAATAATATCTTAATAAAAAGATTAATCATGAAAAGATTTGCCTGATTAACTTGATTTTTATTAAACACACCAGTTCCTACCTCTCTTCTCCCCGGTGTAGGGCACCAGGTCTTCTTTGTCAGGATGCTCTTTGGCCTGTTTCTCCAGATGGGCCAGGAGGTTGTCTCTTTGAAACGTCCCTGTTGGTGCTTTCTTTGTCTGGTCCTTCTGGCGCATCCCAGCAGGCAACAATGCATTCTAGACACGGATTAACATTTACAATATGTTGGTATTGCATGTTGGAAAAATAACCCATACTTTTGCTAATTTGACCAGTCTATGTGTGAAGTGTGAATGCTTTTAGCCAGACTTGCTCCCTGCTTTACAATTCCGATCCAGCCTAATGTAACTCAACATTCATTCCCCAGAGAATGAATCCTTGAATTTCCCAAAGTGCCTTTCTACTTATTCTATCATGTTAAAAAGGTTTTCGTTTTTTTTTCCACAGAACTTGGTAGCAGAGACTGTATACGCTCCAAGAAAGAAGAAAGAAAGAAAGTGTACTTTATTGATCCCTGTGGGGAAATTCCTCTCTGCATTTAACCCATTCACTCAGTGAAGCAGTGGGCAGCCATTGGGCGCATGGGAAGCAGTGTGTAGTTGCTCAGGGGTACCTCAGGGTAGCTGTTCAGGGGAATCGAACCCCCGACCTTCCGATCATGGGGCCACCACTCTACCTACTGAGCTATCTCTGCTAAGAAGCCAATCACATAGCAACAACTTGGTCTCAATCATGCAGACATGGTCAAGACTTCCTGGTGAGGTCTAAATCGAGCACCAGAACTGGAGTCAAAGATGGTTTGAGCGACTTTGAATGTAACATTGTTCTTTTTGCCAGACAGGCTGGTCTGAATATTTCAGTGAGTACTCATCGACTGGGATTTTCCCCACACAGTCATCTCTGCTTTATAGCACAAGACCACACCTGCTGTCAGCTAAGAACAGATGAGATGATGTGAGATGATGAGATTTTTTGCTGCTGCAACATTAACGCTCCATGTCATAAAGTTCAAACCATCTCAGTGACAGTGAGCTCACTGCACACAAATGGCCTCCACAGTCACACGAGCTCAATTGAGCATCTTCAGGTTGCGGTGATGTGCCGACAACAAATCCGAAGCAACTGTGTGATGCTATCGTGTAAACATGGACCAAAATCCCAGAGGAATGTTTCCTGCACCATGTTGAATCTGAGCAACAAAGAATTAAAGCATTTCTGAGTGCTTTAACTAAGTCCAACCAAGTATCTCATATCTCACCTCATGAGGTGTCAAGATGTATGTAGCTTCTGAAAAGTGAAGTGACTTACACCTGCATTCTTTCTAATGGTCAACAGAGGGCAGCTTCTTTGACTGCAAAAGCAGGGCAGTGCAAAGTCTATGATAAAATTCCACTAATCAGGCTTTTCAATCACATCCTTCAAGCACAGCATAGCATATCTTTCTTTATATTAGGATTAAAGTCAGTAAGTAGCTGTGTTGGCACCGGATCACTTAGTTTATGTTTCCCTATGTCTCTGTCAGCAGTTATCTCATGCTAAAGTGGTCTCGAACAGGTGCTTATGTGGTTTTATTTTCTTTATCTTGTTCAAACTTCTCTTTTAGTTAAGTCTTGTAATATTTTGAAGCAAAACACAAAGCTAAGAACAAATGACTTTGATTTTTTTTCTTCTGTAACAAGTTTTATGAGCTGCTGAGTGAACTGTATGATGTCAGGCCTAGACAGCATGACACCATATAATTCTCTCTCTCTCCTCTAGCTCAACACAGGACCAAGAAATTTCCCAGACCATTAGTGCACTGCACACCAAGTTATTTTGAACCTAAAGCAACATTCAAAACCATGCTCTTAGAAGTGCTACTTATAGCTGCATATCTTATCTGCTTCTCAGCACTTAGGGGCCTCCCTTTCTTTATAAGTCTGTTTCTCTTTTTGCTTCTCACTGTTATTCATCTTCAGTCAGACTCTCTCCTTACATTAGGAGCTTCCAAATAATAATCTGGTTGTACAGCAATTTAAAAAAAAAAACCCAACCGAACATACCCGACACTTTGCGCAGTCAGCACAATCTAAGATATCACCAACACAAAGCTTATATCATCTTTAGATTACAGCGCTCAGTCCCAGTATTTTATTTTTAACAGCATGAGTCGGCCTCTGTTTCTCTCCCATCAACTAACAGTCACATGTACAATACGTGTGTCTATGTGTCTATGAGCCTGAAGCTGAGACGATATCATTTCAAGATATATGACACATCAAGATTCATTTCAGATACCAGCATATAAAAATGCACAATGCAAATAAAAATGACCACCTGCAACAAATGCAAACAAGCATCAGCACAGATTTCAACTTTCTCACGCTCTAATAAACATATCCAATAATACCTGCCAGCAAAACACCACCTCCACCTGCTCAGGAAAATATCCATCTATTCTGTAGCTACAGGCTCTCTACAACTTTTTGAAAATGGGAAGTTGCAGTCTCAGAGCCATTTTGATGGTTTAATCTATGCCAAACTTTTCACTTTGATTGGAACTTTTTCTACGTGTGATTTGTATTAATCCACACAAACAACTGAGTATGAAGCAAGCTTGGGTCAGTACACTTGTGAGGCAGTACTGTGTGTTGTAAAACACAAAATGTTCTTGTAATTGTTGCTGAATAATCAATAATGGCAGACATGCGTGCAAACTTTCAGTCTGTTTACTGGAACCGATGTGGGAAACCGTGCTGGGAATGTTACAGTCAGAGCAAATGGGCACTTTACTGTTGTGTAACAGGTGACCCTCATAAACAGGCACAAACAAGGTAAGGACATACGCACTGCTTCTCTCTGTTTCCTCTGTTTACGTCAGCGAGTCCCTGCAGTTACTCACTGCTGGCATGAGCCTCGCTAACAAACACACACACATATCTACTCCACATTATACCCTTCGAGTCATCCCCTTGGCACTGAGGGGGACTCCGGTCTCTTTATGAGGAGTTAGACATTCATCTGGCAGCTATTGCAGCAGCTGTCCACACCTTGACCCCTGATTTATTACTCGGTGGTCTGTCGGTGGACGAGAATCAAATGCAGAAATAAACATATCATAAAAAGCAGCAGCGAATAAACACGAGTGCTGATGTAGTATTATAAGTGCTTTAGCTGTACTTAATACAAAAGGAGAAATACTTTGAATAACAGGGAAGACTAAACAGTAACAAAAGGTTATTAATTTAAGGTTAGTATTTTACTTTTTCACACTTTCACTCTTCGTTTTTCGTTTGTTTCACCATTTTTACATGTATTACTGAATCAAACCCTGCCGCAGACACAAAAGACCTTCATGTTTAGTTGTAATACTTTTACACAGAGAATCTAATCTGCGCTCAGCAACTTCTAATACAGTCGCGGTCCAAAGTTTGCATAAGCTCATTGTGGTAAATGCTCTAAATGATTTATTTGAATTGATATTTTTCCAGGGTGGAATGAATATACAGCATCTGTCTTTAATGACTTTAAAACATAAAAATAAAGAATAAAGAATTTATTTCATTTAGGATTTTCTCTAATTCACACAAGGTCAAAAGTGTGGATTACACCCCAACTAATATTTGGTTAAACGTCCCTTAGAAAGTTGCACCTGGAATAGATGTTAATCAAATTCTTCTAAGCAAAATTGGTGGAGCTCATTTATTTTGGCTCATTTTGTGGCCCAGAACCAGCTTTACAGGTTATCCCAAACATTTTCAACATGGTTAAGGCTGGAGGTTCGGGAAGGCCAATAAAGAAGCTTAATGCTGACCTGTTTTATTTGGAACACCCAATTCTGTCCATGTTTAGTCTAGTGTGGAGTGAAGTTGAAGAATTCCATCTATTTGAGTAATGTAACAGTACCACTAGCAGCAAAACAGCCCCAGAGCATGATGCAACCACCACCGTGCTTGAGAGTTGGTACAGTGTTCATAGGTTTGAAAGCCTCATCTTTACTTCTCCAACCATGCCTGTTGCCATTGTGGCCAAAGAGCTCAATCTTTGTCAAATCTGACCAAAAAACTTTTACCAAGAGGGATTTTAACTTGTCCATGTGCATGGTGCTTCCCTGTGCAGTTGGTATTCCAGTAGTTTCTGGTAACCTTGAACTTGGGGTTTTTCCTGAACAACCATCATCTGAGGGTGACAGTTTGTGTTTTCTTCGGGACCTTGGCAAAGTGGTGACACATCCAGACAAGATGTGCTTGCGCATAACTGTTTTGAATCATCTAGGAATGTGCACTTGTTTAGAAATGGCTCCAAGAGACCTTCCCAACCTGTGCAAATCTACTCTTTTCTATTGCTCTGAGTAGTGACCAATACTCAGAGCAATAGACAGCTGCCATGAAACAAATCCTTTTTATGCTGGCAAAGAAAGTACCAGTTGTAGGCTTTGGCTTTGTCAATTTAAAAGAGACTATGGAACCTTCAGCACCACTTATGAAAAAATGTGAGTGTATGTATATTTTATTTTGTATATACTTTTGACCGGTGTGGATCAGAGGAAATCCAAAATAAATTGCTGCTTGTGCACCCAATTCTTGTTTTTACAAGTCATTAGAGATATATGCTGTTATAATCAGGGGTGCACATAAGTGGTCCGCAGGTGCGCATTCGCTGTCAAAATAAAAGACGCACACCAGATAAGAAGTTGCAACGCACGTTTGCGTACATAAGATTTTCTGGAGGAGGACAGACATTTGTTTAGAACTCTTAAAGATGTCGAAGAAGCTCCTTTAAGCAATTACTTTGGTGTTTCTCCACCTCCAAAGAAATGTCAGAAGGAGTCCGAACCGCAAAAGAAGCGCATATTCTCAGAAAAGTGGTTGCAGGAGGTGAGCTGGCTTCAAACAAATGATGAACGCACAGAGATGTGGTGCAGAATTTGCCGTGAAAATCCCACTCTAGCGGACAAAAACAGTGCCTTTTATATGTAAGCAAATGCGCGTTGCAACTTCTTATCTGGTGCGCATCTTATTTTGACAGCGAATGCGCACCTGCGGACCACTTACTGTGCACCCCTGGTTATAATCAATGCACCCTGGGAAAAAATGTCTCAAAGAAATCATTAAAAGCTCAAAAGTATCACGACATTCATTCCCATGATGAGTTTATGTAAACTCCTGACCATAAATGCCATGGCTTTGTAGACTTTTGTTTTCAGTCCTTTCCTTCAAACATATTTTAACAATTACTACTGTACTACCACTATAAAAACTAAGATTTATGTTATTTTAAAAACAGAAATTACCAGCTAACAGCAACTCAAACGAAAGCACACTGCAGCTCCAGTGATATACAATGTGATACATTACATCGTGCTGTCTGCTGAGCATGTATGCCCCCATTAATCCCCACTGATACCAGCATACTGACATAGCTTCTCCTTATGGACTTCAATGTTATAAGCTTACATCAGGATCCAGCTCCTCTAATTCATCCTCTAACCGCTGCAACTCTTCTTCTGACAGTTTCTTCAGCAGCTCGTCCTCGTCTATGTCTCTGTACTTCTCCATCTCCTTCCTCAGAAGCGCCATTGTGGACAGCACACCTGGGGGGGAAAGAAGAGTACAATATCTTGGAAAACAACAGAAATAAAATATTTACACATCAATTATGAGCAATGATGGCAATCAATTTGAGAGTTATATTGTTTGAGGGAATATATGTGGCAATAAAGCATAACAGTATTTATCGTTTTCTTGTATTCTCTTTGCTCTTTGTTATTCTTGGGATGTGTTCAACATGTGAGGCATATTTAAGCTGTTCTCTCACCTCAGCAACGCCTCCAAATGAAAAAGGCAAACTGTAGGAGATCAGGAGCCTAGATTATATCTATGGATGGAAACAACCAAGAAGCAAGTAATTAAAATGAATGTTGGAATAACAGTGGGTTTGAAGGATCAGAGAAAAGCAACACAATGCTTTAACAGTGGAATTCAGAAGACAAACTGACCTTAATGACCCCCACCTCGGGTAAAATAACAGCAAAGGCAGCCAAGTGCCCGTAGCCCTCTTGGGAAAGCAATTACACCTGAAAGAGGCACAAGTAAATAGTGTGAAGAGAGATTAATAGATCGCAGAATTAGAAAACAATACTACGTCATGAACATGGAAAGAAGTGAAACATCATATTTCTCTGCTTGTCATCTCTTCTCTACTACTCCGATTTCTCAGAAAGCAACTGTCCGGAAATACAGAAGGCTTGAAAATACGAAGTTGAGTGCAAAAGTGCAAAAGAAATGTATGAGAATTTGTCAAACATTTTCACTGGTAATGCTTTAAATGTTCTTCTTTCCATTTCTCTTATATCGTCACAGAGTTTTTGAGAGCTGTTGGAGTGTTCATTTTCATGTCCTCAAAAGGTTTCCATGTGCCACACTCACATCTTTAGATTAAATATGACGCTACAGCCAGCAGGTTAGTACAACTTAGCACAGAGTGGAAAGATAAAAAGCGCTAACCTAGGCCTTCTCAAAGCTAACAATTCCCATCTGCCAGCAAATATACAATTAAGCTGTTAACAGAATTGCTAGATGGAACTGCTCCTAGCCAAGACAAGTCTGGTATATAACTGCATCTTTAAGCTTTTATGCAGGTTTTTGAATGACTTAATACTAAATATGAATGAGTTTACAAATGCAGACAGGTGAACAAACTGCACCGTTAATTATTATTTAAGGAGAAATATTTTGAAGCCTTCCTAGGTGTTTTATTGTTCTTCTCTGCAAGAATTTTTCCATTTATTTGTCACCATTTCAATTTGATTCAATTAGACAAAAAACAGTTGTCTGATTGAATTGGATTTGCTTACAAGTTTTCACCTATTTGCTTGACACTTGGTAATTTTGCACATATCCTGCTGCTGATCATCTGCTTATTTTCTCCAAGTGTTGCCCTGAAAACTTTATAAATGTTGGATAGGTCAAATATGCTGTCCGTAAACGTGTCTTGCTCTTGTTTCTTTCTCAAACAGCTATGAAGACTCATTCCAAATCTTGCTCTCGAACTCTGTCTTGGCTCTGTGACCAGATGACTGAAAATGGATGAGCTGCAGTGGAACATTTGTGGACCAGAGCACCAAACACTGGGCGCGCACACGGTCTCTAAGCCCCAAGTTCCTTAAAGCTGTAGTTCAGACTCTGACAAGTGTTGAGCTGCTACCAATGGATGCCCACATAACAACATTAACTATAACTTCACTGAGCTTGTATCAGGCGATGGGAATGATCTCAAATTAGGCAGAAAATATTGAGCTGGAGCTCAAAGTGCAGAAAATTGTGTTTTTGAGGAGCACAAATGTGAAAGAAAGCTTATCTTTTTGATCTTAGCGATGTCACCAAGTGTGCTTTGGCTTTAATCCTAAAAAGCGGGGTCAAGCGTGTTGTTCTTTTGTTCTGCTTTCTCTTTTCACTCCATGTCAAGACAAGTTTCCAAAACCAGAGATGAAGAACTGGGCTGCACTCCAAATAGCACTGCAAGCCCACTGGAAGACTGCAACCTGTTCTGATGATATCGAACAGACACTTGCCTGTATTTAGAACATTTCTATAAGCCTCTGCTTCATTACAGGACATTCACTGGGCAGAAAGAGCAAAACAACTAAAAATGACCTGAACCAGAACGTACCCTCTGCAGTCATAAACATCTAACTTGCCTCTTGCCCTTGAAAGCAGGCCTATCCAATCCTTAAGCGTCTAAGAATAGCCCACTGATACGGGATAATTAATCAAGTCAGATATGTGTAAAACCTTGGGAGGGCAACTGGTCTTGCATGAGCACAGCCTTTCACTAACTGAGAGCAGAAGATAAAAAGATTTCAGAATAAAAGTCTTTTTAAAACTGCGTGTATACAAGTTAGCTACTCCTGGGTGAAGGCAAGATTTTTTTTCAGTCATGAAGTACGCAGACATTTCTGCAATATTCACAAATGCTCTCAGAGTGAAGAAAACTGAAATATTCATCACAGAAATAAGCTCATGCAGCAATATTAAAGTAACTTGAATTTTCTTTTTGCAACTCCTCGTTAACTGCTTTCAAACAGCATACAAATGGCACGGGAAGCCTTTGTTGCCATCTTCTACAGGCTGCTGAAATGACCTCCACAACATCTTTGTGCATAACTACTTCACAGATTCACATTCAAATATAAGCATAACTCTACATATCTAAAAAAGTAAATTAAAAGTGATTTTAATTGATTAAATTACCCCAAACATATCTTAGCTGCTCAGTTTGTTCTAGGTCTGATGCTGAAATGGAATAAAACTACAATAATCACACTTAACTCTGCTCATTTTTGGGAAAGTAGAAGAATTAAACCCTAGTTTTGTGCCACACAATCTAAAGGAAAGATAGCAGATGTAAAAATTGCACAGATATCTGAAATGTCCCAGCAGACAACAGCTGAGAGACAACTGTTCTCCTTTACTCAGCCACATGTCACAATGCATGTGGCAGAAAATAAGCTCTGTGGAAAGGATGGCGTGTTTTATTACTGGCACTCCAAAGAAAAGACAGTTTGGTTCGTAGATTTAGACCTGGCATTGAGGTGTGCATACAACAAAAAACAATTAAAGGCCACACGTTAAATAATCCTTCATTTTGCTGAGGACATCTGTGGCCACAGTTTTGGTTTTTTTTGCTTTGGGGCCAGCACAGAGTCATATATCATGATCTGTATACCAGACCAAGTAGCTCACTTGCTGCCTTGGACCTGGGGTCAGGCCATTTGTTCATTCTGCAGAGGTCAAAGTGTCATAATGTTTTTGTTAAGTGTAATATCACCAATGAGTGCTGTTATACTCCAGCTGATAATATAATACATGGCTAAACCAGGAGGTAAACAGCAGACTTCTGAAGCACCATTAAGAGCTGTGCTCATAAAATAAAAATGACTGACAAACAGAAGTTCCACAGCTTAGTTATTTCTAGAGTGGATGTGTGGAGGTCACAGAAAACCAGCAACTTTTGTATACTTCGGAACTCCTGTTTCTGCAAAGTTGTAATAACTTTAAAAATTAAATTAAAAGATGTAGTTATGATTGGTCCAAATACGATCACAATAAAATAAAATAAAATGAAATAAAAACCCACCCAATCTGCATCTTTCAGTTTAATATTTAACCTGCAGCAGCCAAATGATGAAAAACAGAAACAGGGAACTTATATTTGGTGTTCATTTTTTCTAGAAAACCCACTTTAAGTAAATGTTAAACTAATCCGGTTCACGGTTTTAACACGGAGAAGTGACCTTAACTTATTTGACTGCTTTGCTGCCCGCAGTATAATATATGCATTAATTTCCCTACCTCCTCCAGCGCTATTTATAGCCGGCTGGTCCCGCTGGGTGACAGCAACGAATACTTTGACCAGATATGGTTTCCTTCACAGCCGCCTGGAGTCGCAGCAGTGCGAAGTACGGTCCGCTGCAAGCGCGCAACTCCGGGAATCCGCCAAATTTCCCCTAAATCAAACCGTCCATGACCCGCGGACAATCTTGAATCCAGAAGATTTCAGCGCTCACAAAGTTTCCTCCCCCGGCTCTGGTCGACTCTCTGTGGACCTGTTGGGACTGATTCTCATCTCCAGCAAAGGGCAAACCAAACTTTTGGGGAAGAGATCCTCCTCCTCTCCTCGCTCACGGCTGCTGTGTCACTCCTGTGATGTCATGAAGATGCGCTGCCTCCATTATCGGACAATGGTTCACTATGTAGCGTAGCTCACGATAACGTTTATGGTTTACATTAAAGCTGCAAGAGTCTGGGTAGGATATCGGTTAGTTTGGTGACTGTTAACCGCTTAAGTGCTGGACTCTGGATCCCTATTATTTTACTGTGCAATAAGTTATTGTATTCTTACAAGTACAGAGAGCAAATCTGTACCAATCCGTTTATATTGGTTCTGCAATAAGCACCAAATTAAATTTAGGTTGGCTGAAGCGCAGACAGATGACTGTCTGTTAAAAAGTACTTGTATTTAAAACAATGTGTAGAATAATAAGTGGAGTAACAGATGTTTGTGCAGACACGTTACAGTATATGTTTCTAACACTGAAAACTTAAGTCCACTCAAATCCATTAAAATTGTGAAATTATAATTCAGTCTGATTCAGTTTGTACAGACAGCCAAATAAAACTGTTTAAAATACTCATTCTAATGTGGGTCAAGCTACAGTTCATAATAAGTGG